CCACATTCCTCAAACCACCCTTTTCCTTCGTTAAGATTCGTCAAGGGCTCTGCTTGCTTGACAAGGTTCGTCAAGGGTGCTCTGGGGGTCCGCCGATCAGGGGTTACCCTCAGTTTGCTACCTAATAATCCCCCTAATCATATTTTTCAGGCCCCGTATCATTTAATATTGTGTGTCGTTGAATGTTTCGGGGAGGGGATTGTAATATAGTGCAACTGGGAAGGTAACGGTCGGATTATTGGCCCTTTAGCAGTCCGCATGTTGAAAACTGGCTAGACGGCGAGTTGTAGAAATGCTCAGGCACACGACTCCGTGCTACAGAGCGGCTTCAACCTCACAGTGAAAACTCCGGGCGTTACAGAAGACATGAGACTCAGCTACGTCGTGGTACTAGACCCGATGGATGTCCGTGAGTGCCGATGGGAGGAGATGTCTGTCAGCTGGAATGGGTAGAACATCCAGAAAGCATCTTCCAGGGAAAATGACGCATCCAACAAGGATCAGACCTTTCCGAAGCAAGGGCGGCAGCTTCGATTGCTCTACCTTGCAGCTGGAGTCTCCGTTGCACTTGGGTCCCGTCCAGGGTGCACGGCCATACTACAGCTTGCGTAAGGTCCCACATTGCTCTATGATGAATTCTGGATCGTGCCAAACATCATATATTATTCACAGAGGACTCATCTCTGCTTCCATGGACGGTAACCTTGACTCAGCTTGATGCAGAATCCGGTTGGCAGGAGTTGGTTTCCGATGCCACTGGAACGATGAGCTGAAGCCACCAGCGCTGCTCGCCTGCAATAGCGTACCCCAAAGTCGATGTAAATTGATGAGGTAGAGCTTCTTTGAATAGCTGAGGTGTAACGTGGAAAGGGACAAAGCAGGTTCGTCAGACATTTGCACCTCCACGCCGGAAGCTTACGTAGCTGCCTCTTGTTTCTACCTCGAAACTGTCATAGCCCCAGGAAGTGCCCCGGCAGACCCTCACTATGCTGGTGATGAATCTCGAGAGTTGATCGACATATTGCAATGCCAACACAAATGGCGAGCAAGTAGCCGTTACGCACGGTCGCTCGAGGCAAAAAAAGGGTAACCGGGTAGGGCAGCAGCGAACTTGACCGCCTGAGTTTGAGCACGTACCTCGCCACCTGCCCTACACTGTATGTGGGCTTGGCTTCTTTCGAGTCGCAGGTCGTCACCGGATCTGTGAGCAGGGATGGTGTTGCCAGATGCTGAGTCTGAAGTTGCAGTATGGCCCAGTATGGCCAAAGTCTGCCCTGACCAGAAGATACCTTAGCACTGATGGAGAATTCTGGAATGTCTTGCTGTTGCACAAAGTTGGTGACTGCAGGCCTCTGCCGCAGCATCTTCTAAGCAGAAGGCCAAGAGACCAGAGAAGGTCGGAGGTCCAAGTTGGGAACACCAGGTTTGGAGAATCTCGCTTTGATGCATTCAGATACTGAGGCTCGAGGAAAGTGGCCAGCAGCTCATGGGACCAGCGAAGATGTTATTGCATGTCTGCATCACGCAAATTGTAAGGTTGATTGGCAGCAGTTTGATCCTGACCCCGCTTTTGGGCATTCGGCCATTGCCTTACAGCTGGCAGGTACAAGTAGCTTATCATGCCGCGCAAACCTTCAACATGTGCATGTCTTGATGGGCTGGAGTTCCTGCAAGTTGGGGAGCCAAGAAGATTTTTTTCGCTTGAATCCTGCCGAAGGCCACTCCGTCGGCTGGAGCCGAAGCTGAGGGCCTTGCCAGGCCTGCTTTGCACATGCAACACGTGAGCACTCCTCGCATCATTCTTCACAGACATTCCCCATAGCTTTATGAATGAAAGCTTGGAAGCATTGCGACTGCTTCGATGTTAGTGCTGCGCTTGCTTGCTGTGGGTGTTTTGACAATCTTCAGAACAGTTGATACAGTTGTTCAATGTGTAGGCTCTACGACACTTAAGTTGTAGGTGGAGCTCGACAGCTTTTCAATCTCCGACCGAATGGGAGAAGAGTCCCATCTCCAAGATTCTCGTGCGGATCTTTGTCAAAGGAGAATAGTGTGAATAGTCGTGAGCAAGACGCATGAGCAGCATTCCAAGTACAGGTTGTCCTGCTTGCTGTGCTTGGTTTGCGGCTGCAAAAGAAGACACACCTGTGATTGTGCACATCATGGTGTATGATCTTGTGGCTTCAATGATTGGAGACCATGTTCCGTTGTGGTACACGGCCATGCACATGGAATAGTGGTCGCGCCTGAGGCTCTGGCGGTGAGATACTTGCTGCAAGTGAGGGATCACGGAGTGTGAGCACGTGCTACCACATGCTGTGAAGCAGCAGTCCTAAACATGACTTGTTTCTGCATCGGTCCAGAGAGAGTCAGTCTCGGGCAGTCTCTTCTAAGCTTAAGTAAACCTGTGAAGCTGTCATGTTGTGGAATCTCGTACATTTTGGGCGGTGCCAGGCAATTCTACCTGTCAGCGTGCGTGGGAGCTCGCTTGTTTTTTCCCAGCTTGGCCGCCAATTCCTTCAAGAACAGACACAGTCTTTGAACGTTTCCAAAAATGATTAGCTGCGGAGCAGCTTGCACGACATGGCTGCGGCCTGCACTGCGCCAACGCGTGCCGGTGTGATTTTATGAGAGGCTTCTACAGCAGGCATCCCGCAAGTTACGTCTATAGGGCAGACCTACGCGGAGGTGATGATGTGATGATCTATTTTTCCCTTTTTCCCTTCCCAGGCGAGGCAGGATGCCGGCCAGGCCCTGCCACAGGACAAGTAGACAGCAATCGCGTTTGCACTTCCCTATGAGTTGGCAACGCCAGCGGATCAAATCGCAACACGCCCCATGGAACAAAACTGAAAGCACCATCAGGGATTCAATATGGTTTAACTGCCCTGCTTTGTCCCAAGGTGTCAATGGAGGCCAATGTGTTCTTGCCAGTTGGGATGCTGCACTTGCGCCATGAGCTCTCTTGGCACCTAGCCACACTTGCAAATGTTGAGAGAGAGCAACCCATGTTGGCGCCGTACAACTTGTCGCAGGATGGGGCAACGCGCGGCACTGAGAGTCAGAACACCGTATGCTAGGTACGAGAGATTGCAAGAGTTTCCGGGCGACTGTATGAATGGCTGCTTTTGATCTAACCCATGGTATATGGTAAATGCACCGTCATCAGCTGTCTCAACCACCATGCCGCCGAGTTGGCTGCCTGCATATGGGCCATACCAGTCATAACTCCTGTCAGGCAATATGGTTGTCGAGCCATCGCTTCCTTCATTTGGGGTTGGGAGTTTGCATTGATTTGCGGTTGCTTCGTGAAAGGTTCCTCTTCTATGGTGCTTACTAGCCAGAGGATTTTGAGGGCTTACGCGGTGTTCTAGGCTTATCAGCCATCACTGCTTGGGGATTATTTTTTGGCTTAGGGCTTGCTAGCCACTCATCTCACACAGGCTCTGGGATTTCTACTTATGATGGTCTCTATTTCAAATATTGAGGGCTTGCTCGGCGCCACTTGCTTAGGGGTTGCTTGTCTTGTAGCCATCACACCCTTTTGGGATTAAGGGTTTGTTCACTTTGGTGGAATTTCTTTATCCAGGGGGTTGCAAACCTTTATCGGCCTTGGGGCTTGCTGAGCTTGCCACCTATCGCCATCACCCTTTTAGGCTGTTCAGTCCTTCGAGGGTTGGGGTTTGTTTAGCGCTGGGCTAGGGTTCCTTCAGTGCCTGCTCTCCGTGACTCCGTTCGGAAATTCGGATTTGTTTGGTTGATATTGTTCATGCGTGTTGTAACATGCATAATGACCGCCACAGAGGCGAGGCGGATGCCATTCGAACCGTCTGACAACGCGGCGGTTTTGACAGGAGGCTGGAGGTGTTGCCGCCTGTGGCACCGACCGCCGCCAGCTCCTGGCTATTGCAAGAGCAAATGCTGCAAGAAGAAGGGCGCCGGCAGCGGCAATTGACAGCACCAGCGCGCCGAAACGCAGCACAAAATCCAGCCTGACTGGAGTCGGCTTGGTTGGCAGAAAAAGTCAAACCAGTCTCAGCAGGGCGGGGCCTCCATGCCCGGACTGACGGCGAAAGTGGCGGCGAAGCATGACCGCCTCAAAATAGAGGCAGGTTGGCTTCGACTGACTTCCAACTCCATAGCAATCAACTCCATGAGGCAGGGCGCATCCCAGCTCCGAAGAGTTTGTGCCGGGTTGTAACATTAGATTGCAGCCGCTCCGCAGAAACACTGCTGTTGTACAAGGGGACTGTCCGGACCATCATGCCACCCTGTGGAAACAGGCACGTGCAGAGCACTGGCTATGCGGTTTGTGATCTGGGAAGTTTTTGTGAACAACGGGGCAACTGCACTTCACATTTCAACATTTGAGCCTTCCCCGCACCCGCTCTTTTATGGATGTGGGCCGTTGGGCGCGCCCAGCTTCCTTTCTCGGCAGCAGGACTCATCGCCAAAGAGCTTGTACAAGGGATTTTCCCACCTTGGCCGATGAGATTGGATTCTGCAAAAAGTTGGGAGGAAGGATTCGATCAGGCTGCATTTGCCTGGCGGTTCCAGCACCATGTGGAAGACGCGTAGTGTTGATGCCGCGACTGGTGTTGTGAATGGCATACAGCCAAAATGACGAGCGGAATGCGCGCACGTGCAGTATTTCGTAGTCGGCGCGTTGTCTCCTGCAGCCCCAGGCATAGCGCCTGTGCATAGATTTAACTTGACGCCTAGGCTTGGCAGAGGCTGTCACATGTCACATGATGTCACATGCTTTACGTTGACAGCCAACAAGGGCAAGAATCAACACTGCAAAGCTGGTTGTTCCTCGTTTGGACGGTGGCACACACTTGAGGCTTCTACCTTCCACTCCCGACCCAGTGCTAGCACAGTCCTCAGCATCTTTGCGCAAAAAAGAAGATCGATTTGTTTTGTAATCAGGAGCAGCGTCGGAAGATCGAGAAAATCTTGGCTGATGCTGGCGGAGAGCTACGCCTGAGTTTGCTTGAACACGTCTTGAGCACGCGAATCGAGAAGCAGGTCTGCGTATGTCTGCGTAACAGTTCCCTGCTGTTGGTATACTTCGGCTCTACGCAGGCGCTGGTGGGGTTTTCGATTGTCCCGTCCACCTGGCCTGGGTTAATCGCGGACTGCAAATCACGTGCTCCCCAGAAAAGTCCCACAGACTCCGCTGGCAACTGTCCAGCACCGGCCAGGTCAGCGGATGGCGACAGTCTCAAGGATCTTGTGCGCCTTACCTCAAAGCAGGCGTGGGCAAGGGCCAGATGCTAATTGTGAAATCTGCCAAAGGCTTCGATAACGCAGAAGCTTCTGACGCTTTCTGTTGAGTCAGGCATGCCAGCTCCTTGAGGGTCCAAGCTTGCAGATGGCAAGCTTGGAGGACACATGAAGTATCAGCAGAATCAGCAGGGATTTGGTGCTAAATTTGCAGAGTCCTTCGGGGTGGCAGGAAGCATACTTCGACCTCGGCAATGCCGCCAACACCTCAATGCTGGTCATGCGACAAGTGTTGTTGAGTAGGAACCTCGTACAGGTCTTGCAGGCTGGCTTGGATTTTGCCAATGAGGACTGCAATCGGAATGGCTTGAAGTCATGAAATTGGTGCCATGTTAAATTGCTGTCTTCTGCAAAAGAGTTCATGCAGATTTTGGGTTTGTCAAGGCAGCGGACTTGCGTTCGATTTGTTCGTTCATGTGTGTAAAGTTCCTGGCGGGATGTGAGGGCCCGAGCAATGGTGGCACGCACCCTGCAGAGGTTGCTTCCCATTTGCCTAGTTCCACCCACGTAGGGTGTCAGTTTCTCGAGTTTTGGGTTTAGGCCCCCTCGTTTGGTTTCCCTGGTCTTGGGTCCCAATTTCTCCTGGGATCTTTTTGCCGCTGATACTGGACTCATTACCATTGAAGGCTTTCAGATCTTTCCAGGTCTCATGTGTCCCATGTCTGCAGCCCAGTTCCTCAGCCAAGAGTGGGGGTTCTCGGTTTCGTCTC